ATATATATATATGGGATTATGGTCTTGCAGCGCATATGGAAACGTAGGTTTTACGACAGGATACAGTTGCAAACGACAAATAAACCCTTCAGACCATTGCCAAGACAAGTGGTACGGCTTTGCAGGAAGATGGAGTGATGAAGGCAAAATAATCCTAATAGTTGTCATGTTATTTGGAAGACTAAAGAAATTCAACATGAGTGGAGGGAAAGCATGGAAGCTTTTGTAATATATATATGTATGTATCATGTATGTATGTAAAAACTAGAAACCATTAATCCATATAATTTTCTTTCTTTTTTTTTTCTTGCTTTCTTTCTTTCTTTCTTTTCTTTTTTGTTTTGTTTTTTTTTTTTTGTTTTTGTCACGTGTAAAGTTTTTTATTTTGTACATAGGATAATGCCAAGAAGTCAGTTTCCACCATTCAATCTTATACATCTTTCGTTGAAGAAAATTTTCTAATATTGTGATTTTTTTTTTATTTCTTTCAAGTTTTTGGGTAAAGAGTACTGAGGCAATACTGTAACTGTTGGCTTTTCTAATTAATTAAACAACCAATTTGTTTAATTAAGTAATTCATGTTTTGTAATCACCCACCCATTATTGGCTTAATTTAGTGTTGCTCTAGATTTTGAAAAAATTACTTTTAACTGTGCTAAAAGAAAAAATAGCTGTTACAAAAAGCAGCTGAGTGTTTGGTAAACTATAATTATAATAGCTGTGCTGGTTTCAAAATCAATATAATAGCGTTTGGTAAATTATGAGATTAAATTACTGTAGATAATTAAAATTTACGACTATATTATATTATACTATAATATAATATATATATAATTACAATATAATATATATTTATTATTATATTTAATATAATAAAAACTATTATTATATAATAAATTATATAATTATAATATAGAATATAATAATATTATTAAAATAATAAACTGAAATAATTAAAAATTACGATTAGATTATATTATATTATACTATAAAATAATATAGAATTACAATATAATGTATATTTATTATTATATTTAATGTAATACAATAAAACTATTATTAAATAATATATTATATAATAATGATATAGAATATATTAATATTATTAAAATGATTAATATAATTACAATATTATAAAACATATTATAATATTACAAAAGAAATAATAATATTTCAATTATATTATAATTAAAAATTATAACTATATTATATTATATTATATTATATTATATTATTATTATAATATCATATTATATGATAAAATAATAATATTAGAGTTATTAATATAATTATGATATTATTTGTTACAATATTATTATTA